TATATATATATATATATATATATATATATATATATATATATATAAGGTGAAGACCACAGTGGTGCCTGTGGTCATCGGGGCCCTCGGGGCAGTCACCCCCAAACTGGAGCAGTGGCTCAAACAGATCCCAGGAACAACATCAGACATCTCAGTCCAGAAATGTGCAGTTCTAGGCACAGCCAAGATACTGGAGGAGAACCTGAAGCTCCCAGGCCTCTGGTAGAGGACCCGAGCTCAGAGGATGAAGGAGACCACCCACAGAGGGTGAGAAGGGAATTTTATATATATATATATATATATATATATATATATATATAAGGACAACAAGGAAAAGATTAAAAGAGCGGGAAGAAAATTTCTGTGGCAGCTGTGATCCGCTCCCACCAAAGCCAAAGGTCACATCCCACAGGAAATTATACTGGCAGACTTTTCTGTCTGGCACTCCATCTCCTTTCAAATTAAAGTTCAGAGAGGCTGTAGGCCAAAAGCTCAGAGCTTTCTCTGGCCTCTAACTCATGCTGATGATACTGTTTGATTTTAAAACATCATGGTGGGGGAGACTCACCTATTGTTATTCTTTTCATTCTGCTCACTGACATGGACTTATTCTGAAACTCCTACTGTTTAGGAAGATGAAAAAGGTAAATCTTAAAAGCTAAATTTAAGTCTGTTAAAATAGCCTGAGCTTTTTTTTTTTAGGTCTCCTCCTTATCATTTTCCTCCCCAGTCATAACTTTGAATGAGGCGAGGACTACTCTTAAGTGTGGAAAAATAATTTTTTCCTTTTGAATTGGAACCTTGAAAAAAAATCTTCAAACTTCCTAATCTATGCAATTTCGAGGCGTGTCCACTGTATTATCACTGGGAGTTCTACTCCACATTCAGTTAAATTCATGTATATATTTCATTAAATCTCCCAATTGCAATGCAAGGCTGTTGAAAAAATCTTGAGCTGTGTATGGTGAATTGGGAATTACTGATATTGATACCAGTTTGTTTTTTTTTTTGTTTATTTTCACGTATCGCTTATTGTTCAGTAAAAGTGTCCAGCTGAATCACATTCATGCAGGCACTTCCTCATAAGACATTCTGCACAGACTTTTGCTCTCTTGGCTGAAACACTTGGTTAAATTGTGTTTTCCAAACTGCACATAGCCAGTTAAGTTAAAATAATATGAGTGCTCTTTGCCCCCTTGCAGGAATTCTGCCTTTTTCCATTGCGGAGCCATGGTTTCATCTGATTGCTTTTTGTTTGGTTGGTTCATTTACCGCATTACGAAAGCCCATCTCAGATGGACAGCTTAAATGCGATCATAAAGCCCCACTGGCACTTTAGTTTGAGCACATGTGCTCATCGAGGCACATGCATGTAGCCAATTGATGGGGTTCATGAAGCGCTTCGGTGAGCAGGGGCAGAGAATCCTCTTTTCACTGCTTTTTGATTTGACTAACACCTTCCGTTTTTCTCCTTTTCTCACCAACACACGTAGATACAGTGAATCCTTTGCTTGAGCAGTTCGATTACATATTTAGCTAGGTCATTAATGAATGAGTCAAAAAACTGTCTTTCAAAAACTGAGTGCAACTTACCCAATGGAAACTTAAAAAAATAAAAAAATCGTCTGCAACCATAATCGGTTTTCTTTGAAAGATGTCAAGAGGTCTTTAAATGGAACTTTATATCTTGAGAAACTCTTCGCTCCACTGCTTAGTTAATACCTTCATTTACTCTCTTTCAGAGTACAAAGTACATCTTATCCTTGAGCATTAAAGGATAAATATGTCATAGTCATGTCATCTTTGGGTCATGTCATTTTTTTTTTTTTGACTACAGGGAATCAAAACATGAAATAAAAACAGATGATTTCTCTGCAGGCTTTCTATAACTTTACAAATAAGCAAGACTTTTTTTCCCAAGTCCTTTCCCTGATGGTGTCATTACAAAAGTTATATTGAAACAAATGTGTTAAATGCAGTGTTTATGGCGACATAAATTAGTTTAAGGAGACACTCAATTCTTCCAGTCTTCATTCTGCTCAATCTTAATAGAATGAGATTGTACAAAACCTCAAGTTTCTTGTCCAAACTGTTTTTATCTGCCATGTGTTTAAATGGGGTACAAAAATCAGTGGCACTAAGTGCATGTCTATAAAAGGGATCTTTGAGTTCAAAGAGTTTTATTTTGATTAAATAATTGTTGAAGACATAATAATGATCCAATATTCCTTTTCTAAGCATAAAACACGTGTAGAAATTGATCAGCTGAGTCAGGCTGTACCACTCCTTTTCTTTTGGTAAATCACAGATCTTTCATAGCAACATAGAGACACCATTGTTGCCTTGTTGATATGGACACCAAAGCAGTCCATATATGGTATTGGTAGCACAATCTCTCTTCTGAACATTGCTAGACATTCCCATGAAGTTTGTACTTGAAAAAAATCTTGTATGCAGCGCCTTCAGGCATCTGGAAATCATACCTGAGAAAGAACCTCTCCTTGAAGGAAGCCAGGAGTTCACATGTGCTAGTGAGGAAAAAATACGATGCATGTCAGATGGCCTGCAAAATGTCAAGTGCACCAACGATGTGCCACATGAATTCCAAGATGTAAAGTTTTCACCGCAGAACATCAGCACCTCTCATGACACAAATATCTGAAGACACATACCGCACCATGAGCAATGCTACTGCTTAAGCTCACAGGTTTTTCTTTTGTTTTTTTTACTCTGACGAAAGAAGAGCAAACGCAAACATGCACGGTAATAGCCTTTAATTACCGACTGCAACAGTAAATTTCTGGCTAAGCATCAACTCCGAGGATATCTCTTCCTGATAAATGGCATATTAAAGTTCACTGATGGTGACTGGTGGTTTGCCATTTTGCCGGATTATGGCTGACCACTAATCATTCCGACATGCAGCGGGTGCAAGAGAGTGACGAAAACTCTCTTGGCGGGGAATTAGAGTTTTGTGATTGAGTGCTTTTGTGGCATTAATCACCGTTGAGCGCGGGAGTGCCACCCCCTCGCGCACTGATTTACCATTTTGCTGTAATACACTGACTCTCTCATTTGCATGCTTTCACAGACCCAGTCCAATTAGGTTCCGTCAAACTCTCAGGCTTTCTCATCCTGACTTTGATCTAGAATTTTTGCCCCCTCACAGTCTCACAATTGCTTTTTTTTTTTTTTTCTTCCCTTCACCCGCTGTTGAGATCTTTTTTGTCTCCTCTTTTTCCTCGTCTGTCTCGCACTGCTATCTCTCTCCCAAAGTGTTACCTCTTAGGCAGCAGGCAGACAGATTTTAGATGAGTCACCCAGAATGTCTGATTCCATCAGCTTCCCTCTGTTTCCTGCTCTCTCCTCACTCCTTGTTCCTGACGCTTCTGCATCATTTCACGATGTAAAAGGGTAAAAGAGGGAGTGGCTTCTCTCTTCATGAACCCCTTTCTTTTTTCTTCTCCAATCCCCCTGCAGTGCTACCCCTGCAAAATTCAGACATTGTCTCCTTTGAAAACTGAGCTGTTTTTGGAGTACGGATTAAAGTCTTGGACGGATGTGATGTAACATAATATGATGAAGCAATTAATGGTTAAAGTGGGGGCTGGTGGATAGAAATAAGAAGGGTGTGCTGCTGAGAAAAGAAAAATTGCCTTTTTAAAAAAAAAAAAAAAACAAGAACACACAGGGCAAGGTCATTCACCATAATGACTTAAATCTCCAGTTGAACTTTTATTTTTCCAAAGCTTGGTCCATTTTAGTGTTGGACTTTGTTCACTAATGAGGCTTCGGTGCTACAACAGGTTGAGCCGTGCAGCGTGTTAAGCTGCTGGCCGGGAGTTGCGAACAAATTGACACAATCCACATTTCCGTCCTCACAAAGGAAAAGAATCGGCGAGAGCGCATGACTCACTTTTCCAGCTAGGACGCGTAATTAGAGCGAATGTGTAACTGTCATATCTTTTAGGCAGGCACAGCACTTTACTGACTTTTCTTGTAGTGAAAGCAGCCAACAGAGCATTTGTAAGCAACAATTTGAGAGAAGAACAGAATACGGTGTAAATAACTTCATGCTGATGAATTCTAACTTGTAGATGTCTGGATTTCAGGTCCAAACACAGATTTTAGGGGTTTTCTTTGGCATTAGCTTTGGTCTAAAGTGGGATTTATATTTCTAGGATAACATGGTCTTACTTTGGTAAAGGGATTTACCAAAGTTAAAAGTTTTACATTTTAATTGTTAACTAGTCACCTGCTTACCTCCCATAACACTGAAATATGTCCCACAACTGACTTGGTGAATGGGCTGAATTTATTTATATACCACTCAAAGTGCTTTTCCACTAGAGCTACATTCGGCCAATCAGAGTCATAGATGCACACGCCGTCATACAACAATACACCAATCAGTAGACATCCTGAGGTTATGTGCCTTGCCCAAAGGCACAACATCAACTTGTCGAAGGAGGAAGCAGCTAGAGTCAAATCCACAACTTTTTGGTTGCACGACAACTAACTACTCTACCTGCTCAGCCGCTGCTGCCAAACATTTGATTTTTTTTTGGTTTATATTTTTGGGTAGGATTTGGAGTTTGTTTTCTACAGCATTTATCTGATAATTATTCTTTTACTATAGTTTTTTTTTTTTTTTTTTTTTTCCCGAGCCTGGGACCGAATCAGAAACCACAATGTATTATGTCATTGGAGCCATTTTGTACAGAACCCTTGGCATCATCTTACCTGGACCAAAGTGAGTACTTTTGTTATTTGTTTAAATTATTTCCTTCCAAAAATGTTAGCCCTCACCTCTTGTTTCTTTCTCTTGCTGCTATTTTATTAGATTAGATTAGATTACTATTCCTCTTTGAAATAATAATAATATACAGTTTCCTTCTTAATTCTACTACTTTTCCAGTCTCATGTTTCTTAATGGTCAACTTCCCAGTATTTGTAGGACAAGAGCTTCTTTCCTTGTCCATGCAAAGAGCTGCATGATATCTTGGGTGCAGCGTTTTTGGGTCACGGGTGCAGTGTGGATGGTCATAACAAATTTTGAAGCAGTGCTCGCCAAATGCCAGAGCTACAATGTAAAGCCGCCTGCAGCCGGCTGCTAACAGTTAAATTTCTTTTAACCCTCCTGGCACGGTGGCTGCTATGCACATACCACAGTGTAACCACCACTGCAGCAACTATATCATCATCATCAAGCAGCCCTGCTCTCTATTCAGAGCTTTAAGGTCCACAGATTGCAGCTCACAGCTCAAAGTATACGGGACCAGACTCTCTCAGTTGTAGCACCAAACTACCAAAGTCTGCTTTTGCACAACCGAGCCACACATACCGTTATTCATTTCACAGGTTCTTTTAAAAACCTACTTCTATTTTGGCTTTGATTTCTTGTTTGGACTGAATGTGCGTGTCTAATTATTTGACCTATTTTACTGTTTATAATGCTTTAATGTTTACATTTTATTGTACTCTATTTTGACTGTTCGTGCTACTGGTGGCTATATACCTTGAGCAGCACTTAGATCAGCTATTGTTCTTGGTTTAAACAACAAAATCCATAATTTTCAAGGATAAAAAGAAAAAAACAAATACACAGTGTAATTAGACATATACCAGGCCTCCTGTAGAATTGGGGAACCATCGGCACATCTCCACAATTTTCATGAGTTTTTTGGGGGTTTCTGAGGAAAGTTCTTAGCGCATGAAATGGCAAGCTTGGTGTTCTGTTTAAAATGCCTGCAGAGTCCTCTAAGGGGCATGGGAATTTTTTTTTTTTCTTTTACATTCCCTCGCAATTAATTATCAAATACATCCTGCTATATTTTGCATACAGTCACAGTGACAACAAATGGCAATTTAAAAGTGCAAATATCTTTAAAGAGGCTCAATCAAAATCAAAATGTGTTTATAAATTCTTTATTCTTTGATAATAAATATATATATATATATATATATATATATATATATATATATATATATATATATATATAGAGAGAGAGAGAGAGAGAGAGAGAGAGAGAGAGAGAGAGAGACTTCATGTCTGTTTTTGTAACATTGCAATGGGACTGGGTATGAATACGGTCCTTTATAACCAAACTACCAACACAAAAAAGACACAATCAAAACTGTTAGATGACTTTATTAACAACTTTATATTGAACAGAAAGTCTTTAAGTGTTCAAGGGGATCAAGATTTAAGGTTTTAACCTAAACTTCTCCAAGTGTCTTCCCCATTCTTGACTCTTTTTTTTTTTTTGTTTTATTAACTTTGGGATTAGCTAAAATCCTTATAACTTCCCAAACATAGCATATAACTTGGAGCCAATGCAAAGGTTATTAAAATCCTGTGTGAGGATGTATTTTGCGGTGACAACGGGCTGTTTTATTCAGGTCAGCCCTCTTGGTTGTGGGGAAAGTTGGATCTTTTGAGTCCGTTTTCTGTCTTTAGCTCAACTGAATGTTAACGGGGACAAAATTCTGTTTTCACCAACTTCCCTCTCCTAGTCGCCCTTTCCCTCTCGTTGTTTTTCATTTACTTGGAGGATTTCAGAGAGCTTCTTCTGCGTGCTCTCTGAAATCCTCCCAAAAAATATGCACATGTACTGGATGTATTATCTTTGTATCATCAATTTCGTATGTGTTTGTACTTCAAGTCCTCCTGCGGTGATCAACTCCAAGATTCTGACGGTGACGGTGCGACCCGAACCTCAGCCGAGCGAGCCCATGGTCGTGGTGGAGCTGTCGCCGCTTTTAAATGTAAGTCCAGATAAATCCAAACCCAGCACCTACATCGGCATCATTTTATCTAGTTATGATGCATGGTAACTAGACTTTTGATTGCCAGTGGGGATATTTTTCTCTCCAACTCAACTTACAAGAAAATGTACAAGAGAGCTCACATATTTTCTCATATCAAAGTGCAAGGAAAATGCTAATAACTCCATAAGGAGCACTTTCTAATGCAAGGGGTTTGCAATTTTACTTTTTACTTTGCTCTTGTAGACTAAGCATCTTTTGGGTTTGAAAATAATTGTGAGGCTTTAATGGAATCGTGTCGTCCCGGCTGACCTCGTGTTGCTCGACTTCTGAGGAAATAAAAAGTGCTGCATGATATAAACCGCTATTGTGCTAACCGAACAGTGCGTGCAAATGCAAACCTTTCTGACTTTTTTATGTGGTAGACTTTGAGTGTCTGTTTTGTTAATATTAAAGCACAATATTCATGGAAATGATTACCTATGAGTATAAAGGGAAGCATGCATTTGAATGTTGATAGGGTGATTGTTTTATTGGCTGTTCTGCTATGTAAAGGTAGGTGTTGATTATTCTCTCTAGTCCCATTGATCCCGTTTCACCTCTTTGTGCATACATTCTAATATCTCTGTTAAAACTGATTGACATGGTCAAAATATATGACAGGATTTTGTGAAAATGATCTTCAGTCTCCATCCCCTGCTGCTCTCCAGGTTTTGCTGTCTCTCTGTTATCTTTTTTTATGATGGGGTACTCTCTGTCCGAAGCGAAATGTCTTAATGCCGATCCTTGCACGCTGCACTACTCTGCAAAACCGAAGGCTCCCGCTGAGTACAAGCACTTCTCTGGCACACACTGCAGCTCAGGGTTTGGCCAATCTTGGCACCGCAGACGCCGCTGTACACATAACCAGTTGTTGTAAAGTCAGTATTATCCTTCTTTAAAGAGTGCTTCAAAGTTCTAGTGTTTTATTTCCCAAACGTTTGAGAGTTAACAAGAGATTCATCCGAGCAGAAGCCACACAGCGGATGATTAAAAAGGTCGTTCTTGATACTGCACACGCGATAATGCAGTGCTTGTTGTGCCAGCCTTAACTTTGACCACAAAACGCATTCACTGTGCCATTGGGAACATTTCTTTAGAAAGTCTGTATCAATAATAATAATAATAATAATAATAATAATAATAATAAAGTGGTATTTCTACATAGAATTCATGTGATTAAAGACACATTTTGTTGAGCAACAAAAACAAAACCTGTGATTTACGGATTAAAATAACTTGAATCCTGTTTTGCTCTCATGTTTCATTTCATCTTCTGAGATGTGGTTATTGGTAAAGCATAGGTGAAATTACTCCTTACCAACTGAAGCAACCCCAGATAATAAAATCTGACCCCAGAGTTTTGTGGGCATAATGGTCCGCCTTGTTTTTTTCCTTTAAGTCATCTGAGCATCTCTTTTCCATTGCATCTCTCACAGTCGCAATCTTTACTCTTCTTGTGGAACTGACATATTTCCTCCCAATCACCCTCACTCATAAGTCTCTTTTTAAGGATGCCCTGCAGTTAAGGTTGAGCATTGATGCTTCTTTTATGCAAGCGTTGATGTTTTCACTCCCATAAGTAAACACTGGAATGAGATCTGATATTCACCTTTTGATTAACTTCCCCTGAAGGTTTAGGGAATCTTTGATTGCAATCATTCAAAAATCCTTTTTTTTTCTTTTTCTGGATGATTAAGATGAATCACTACCTGTTGAACATGCGTGATAAGTTTTAACCCAAACGTGGTGATCTGAAGGACTTGTTTATATTGGCTTGCGTGGTTTAAAACCACAATTTCAACACAGTTTAAATGTTTTTAATGAGCTCCGGGGGGGATTAAGTAGTCATTTGGTGAATCAGACGGTATTAACAGAGATGGATCGATGATTCACAGCTTTCTAGTTGAAGCTTATTGGCCAGCGTAGTCATTTATGAAAAAGAAAGAGTACTGCCTAATTGCTGAGCTAAATTCAAGTTTTGGAAGAGACAATCATCAAGTCTGCCTATACACTGATTCTTCGTTGTTTGGTCGCTTAGGCATCATTAAAATTATAATTTGTCATTTTCCAAGCTTTTCCAGAGACCAGGTGAGAAAAACTCTGATCATTTTTACAAAGAGCATGAGTGAGCCATTCAAAACAAAACACGAGTTTCTACCTAAAGCAGGGCACCATTAAAAGGTTAAATGTTTAATCAATTTTTGGGACTCCACTTTTTCACGTTTAGTGAGATGACCTGCAGAAAAGAAACGTAGATTTTAAAATAATTTACATTGTCATTGCTTCAGAGGCAGTAGATGCTGGCTTTGGCACACACACACACAAAACATGTTTTTGTTAGATTAAAATGGTGAAATGACTTGGATAAAATATTTTAGCTCTACCAATTTCACCTTTCAACTTTGTCAAATGCCTTTGTCAACGACGACAACACCAAAAAAATAACCTTGGACTGATGCCTGAGTTAATGTGTAAAATAAACCTGCCTCTTTTTCTGCCACTATGATTGGTTCCTATTATAGGGTGACAACATTTTTGTGACTTTGAACAAAAATAATGTGATAGTGACAGAAAACAAGTTGATTCTAATTTTTTTTCCCTCCATTACTTACATCTGAATCTAATCAGACATATGCATAACTGCTACCACAAATTGGATTTGGTCTTAACAGCTCTAAGATCTTCAACAGCCTAATTTCAGATGCAATGGAAATTTACATATGAACTTGATTTCATTCTACATCGTCTTTGGCATCGGTTTCATATTTATTTCGGAGTTTTCAAACTTTGCACATTTTTTATTTTTATTTTTTTTGTCTGCTGTTGCAGCAGAACTCCCTCTGGTTGCTGCCACCCTGGCCAACCATCCTCGCGGCCTCTGCCAAGAATCAGATGAATATCATGCGTGTTGCACTTTTGATTCAATTTGTTTTGCTTCCATATTCACATTCCTCCTTCCTATGCAAAACACAACCAGGGAGATGCGCGCACACGCCATGATTTTGTCCCTTGTTACAGAAGAATATACTTTGGGTCTGACCTTAGCCAATCTAGAAACATCCAGCTGCCTGAGCTGTAGCAAGGCAACAGCTGCCCTGTGCTTCGCTCTCCAAGGCGAGTGTGAAGGGTCATGTCTTTACTGAGAGGACATCTGCTCCAGTCAGACTCCATGTCTTTATCCCCATTGACCTAATTTCTGTGTGTCTTTAATGTTGTGGAGGATGCAGGAGGCCCCAAACCCCAACATCCCCAAAGCAGACCAGTTCAACATATGCCAAGTGCCAGAGTCCACCTGCTCCATCGTTCATACGCATATTTTTTTATTTATTTAGGAGATGATTCCTCGTTCAGCTTTAAAGACCCGAGCCTTCCTTATAAATTCAGATCATGCATAAGGTGACTTTGATCCGTAAAACAGCATCCGCCTGATTGCCCCATTTCATTTTTTTTTTTTTTTTGGCATCTCTAATATTTCAAATGAAGTTGAAGGCTTTTAAGAATCCTTGATCCCGCGAGTGCTCGTACTCTTTTGCATTAGGTTATTTTGTCTGATTAGCTTACCATATCCATAGCCAATATTCATCACCACATGAGCTATTGGGCACCTTAAGAAGTGGCAGAGTCCCCTTCAAGAATAAAAGAGAAGACTTCAAAGGCAGATGCTATTATCGCCATCAAGCCACACTGTGTGTTTCCTTTAAGAGACATCATTTGAGAAGATTATGTCTACTATACGAGGCAGAAGCATTAAAGAGAAGCCATACATTGCGGAAATACAAAAATGTCAGTCGTGCTGTAGCAAACACGATGCCCGATGATTGATAGCTGCATGCTAACGGAGCTCGCCGCGCTAATGCATGCCCAGGGACATCTAACGTTGGTGACGGCTGCCTGTGTGCAAGGCAGAACAAAGCACTTTTCATCCATCAATCGTCGTCATCTGCTCTCTGAGCCTGTGTACATGGACCTTACATCATCTCACCCTCTCAAGTCCAGTCATGGATGAACTGATTCGTGGTAGAACACTCCTGAACTGCTTGAAGAAGGACAAATGACCTTGTCTTTCTCAGAATAAATCATCATATTACTGTCTCCTCCTGTGTGCACCACTTCTGTTACGTCCTTTGGCTTAGTTAAAACAAACTGAATGTGACTGATAAAAGAACTTCTACTTCCTCTCCAGATTTTGTGACGAACAGGTCTTTTTTTATGCATACATTAACTTACAAAAGTATTCAAATCACTTGAACTTGCATCTTACTGTGATACTTTTCCACGATATACCAAAACAAATGTGAAGGAAAAAGACACTTTTTTTTTCTGTTAATGCATAGCTGAAAAGAATGGTGTGGATATATTTTCTGTCACTGTGAGTCAATACTTTGTTGAATCACATTTTCATTTATTTCAGCCATATGTAGAGTTTAACCTTTTCATCTATCCTTCTTTGCAAAATAGCTTAAGCTGAGGGCAGGTTGGTGGTTTTCCCACAAGTCCAAAATCAGGTTCAGGTCAGAACATGAAATTGCTTTGATCTAAATGTATGGCGATGAAGCTGTGGACAACCTTTGGTGGTAAAAACAAACTCATGACATTTTTGAACACCATTCCATTAACCATCCTATTGTAGCTTTGTGATATGTTGAAGGTTGGTGTTCTACTGGGATGTAGTCTATTTTAAAATGGTTTCTTGAAAAATTCCATTGTAAATATTCATCATCCCCATGAACTATGAGCCTTTTCAGTCCTCAATAAAGAAAATCATCCCCACTGTGTGGTGGCAAGGTGTTACTTTAACTAGTTAAACTTAGCTTTATGCAGTGCAAAGTATTTTTTATTTTTTTTTCATTTTGCTGATAAGCTTAAACTCAAGTTGCAGAGATGAAGAAGCTAGTTAGTTGCTTCTTCATTCCTGCAACTTGATCCTTGATAGACTGATAGACTTCCTGAAGGCAATCGGAGGTTCTGGATTTTACTTTTACTAACACGAGTAAATGGGGCTTCATGAATATGCACTGAGCATTTTTCCAACAGCTTGGAAACTATGTTATCCCTTTTCTTCTGTCAAAATTACTACTACTTTGAGTTTGTGTATCACAGTGAATGTTAATGTTTTCCAAGCCACTAAGTGGAAAAGCTGCCTATCTGTTGAATTCTTGCTATAAGCTTGTTTGCCATAAGGGGGAGCTCAAAGGCAAATTGCTTAATGCTTAGGACTTAGGAAGGCTCACCACACTAAAAACTAGGAATCCATTTTACTCTTCTTTCACCACTGTGCAGATTTCAACAGTGTACACTCATCTGCAGCTCTTAACAAACTTTTACTAGCTATGTCACTCATAAATCAGAGTCCCACAATGCATTTTGTTTCTCAACTAAAACGTTGCTCTGAAATTTCAAGGCTTGAAATCCTTCAGCTTAACCAGAAAAAGTTCAACCCTCTGGTTGAAAGAATAGAGACGATTTTGAACTCATCAGTGCAGGAACTACTTTAGATCGCTGGTGGAACAGATTGTGATGAGTCAGTTAAAGATATCGATCCCCTGATTGAGTCATATGGAGTCTTCCTTTGCCACCTACTTCGATTACCACATGATTTATGCACCACTTGGACTCCGGCCTATTGGCTTCTGGCATCAGCCAGTCAATGGATGTACTGGCGAGCTGATATCAGAACATGTTTAGTCCAATCTGACGCTCCGTTTGAGTTTTCCCAGTCAGATTGTGAGATGTTTCAGACTCTTTATACACGCCAAATATATCCTTGCTTTGCATTTTTTTTTTTTTTTTTTTTTTTTTTTTTTTTCCAACTTTTTTCCATTTAAAAAATTTTTGGGGCTACCCCCCCTTTTTTTTGTGCCCAAAAAAAAG